CAGCGGACAAGCTGTCCTCCCGTGCCGTTCCCTGTGTCTTCCTTGGCTTCCCCCCTGACGCACCTGGGTGGCAGTTCTACCACCCCACCTCGCGTCGTGTTCTGTCCTCTCAGGACGTCACGTTTGACGAGTCGGTGTCCTACTACCGTCTCTTTCCCTACCGCACTGCCTCTCTCCCCCCCCCACCACTCTTCCTAGCCCCTGGTACTTCTCCGGTAGACCCCCTCCCCCCTCAGGGTCCTGCCCCCTCAGGTGTGTCCCAGGTAGACCCTGCCGAGCCGGTCGAGGTAGCTGTCGACTCAGGTGCTGCTAGGGGTGCTGAGCCTGCGGGTGCGGGGACTGGGGGTGCGGAGCCTGGAGGTGCTGAGCCTGAGCGTGTGGGGTCTGAGGGTGCTGAGCCTGCGGGTGCGGAGACTGGGGGTGTGGAGTCTGGGGGTGCTGAGCCTGAGCGTGTGGAGCCTGGGGGTGCTGAGCCTTGGGGTACTGCGTCTTGGGGTGCTGAGCCTGCGCGTGCTAAGTCTGGAGGTTCTCCGGGTGTCCCGTTGCGGCGGGAGCCCCTCTCTCCGCAGCGGCTTCGTGAGTGGTACGCTCGGCGCTGTCGCCGTGCTACTGGTGCTGCTGGTGCTGGAGCTGCTGGAGGTGCTGCTGGTGCTGGAGCTGCTGGAGGTGCTGCAGGTGCTGGAGCTACTGGAGGTGCTGCTGGTGCTGGAGCTGCAGGAGGTGCTGCTGGTGCTTGTGCTAATGGAGGTGCTGCTGGTGCTGGAGCCGCTGGTCCTGGAGGTGCTCGTACTGGAGGTACTGGAGCTGCTGGGGCTGGTGGTGCTGCAGGCGTTGGCGCTGCAGGTACTGGAGCTGGTGGTGCTGCGGGAGTTGTAGCTGGAGACCCTGGCGCTGAGGGTACTGGTGCTATCTCAACTGTTCCAGGAGGTGCTACGAGGTCGCGGCCGTACTACGTTCCGCTCCTTCAGCAGGTTCTTAGTCTACAGCCTTCTCCTGGTCCTACTCCTCCTTTACTGAGTCCACCGCCTGTCCAGTCCCAGTCGCAGTTACAGCCGGCCTCTCCCCTGCCTGGTCCTGCTCCTTACTCTGGACCGACTAGAGGTCTTACGGAGCCTTGTGAGCCTTAGTCGCGTCCTGTGTCGCCTGAGTCTCGTCGTGAGTCATCTGAGTCTCATTCTGAGTCGCCTGTCCGCACTGTTCGCGCTGGTCGTCGTGTTACGCGTCCGCGTCCTCCTCCTGTCCCTGGCACTCACTCTATGACTCTCCGTCCTTCCTCTGCTCCACAGCGTGTCCCTCTGCCGTCTCGTCCTGCGTCCTCCCTTCCTGACGGTCCGGACCCGGAGTCTGACTCCCTTCGTACTACTAGTCCCACTGTCACGCGCTTTCTGGCCACTGCTGTCACTGGCCCTTTGTTTGAGTCCACTGCTGCGTCTGCTCTCGTTGCTGAGCTTGTTGACTTTGCTGCAGTCTGTCGCCTAGACTACGCCACTAGTCTTGTTGCTGAGTCTGCGTCTGTGTCTGTCTGTCCTCCGTCCGTCGGGGGTGAGTGTGCTCTTGGCACGGACGTTCTTGAGGACAGACAGGAGGAGTTTGAGTGCTTTGCCGCTGCTGTACCTCATCTCGTGTCCATGCTGCTTGCCCCTGAGGGAGACCCGGATGCACCAGACATCCCGACCCCGCGCTCTTACGCAGAGGCGATAGAGGGTCCCTACTCCTCTCAGTGGCAGGCAGCCATGGACGCCGAGATGGCTTCCTGGAAGTCCACAGGCACCTACGTCGACGAGGTTCCCCCGCCTGGGGCGAACATCGTCAGTGGCATGTGGATCTTCAGGGTGAAGCGGCCGCCGGGTTCTCCGCCTGTCTTCAAGGTGCGTTACGTTGCACGAGGCTTCAGTCAGCGACAGAGAGTTGACTTCTTCCAGACCTTCTCCCCTACCCCGAAGATGACCACTCTTCGGGTGCTGCTGCATGTCGCCGCTCAGCGTGACTACGAGCTACACTCGCTTGAATTCAGCACAGCCTTCCTACAGGGCAGCCTGCACGAGGAGATCTGGCTGCGCCGCCCACCTGGCTTCACTGGGTCGTTTCCTGCTGGTACCAAGTGGAGCCTCCGGCGGCCAGTCTACGGTCTCCGCCAGGCACCCCATGAGTGGCACGACACACTGAGGTCGACTCTTGCTGCTCTTGGTTTTGCTCCTTCCACTGCTGACCCTTCGCTGTTTTTACGCACTGACACCACTCTGTCGCCGTTCTACGTTCTCGTGTACGTAGACGACCTCGTCTTTGCTACTGCTGACACTGAGGCACTCGCCCACGTGAAGTCCGAGCTGCAGAAGAGACACACGTGCACAGACCTGGGTGAGCTGACAAGCTATCTTGGCTTGCGGATCACCCGGGACAGAGCATAGCGCACCATTACCTTGACTCAGTCACACATGGTGCAGCAGGTCCTTCAGCGCTTCGGCTTCACGTACTCCTCGCCACAGTCCACTCCTCTGCCTACCGGTCACTAGCTCTCAGCTCCACCTTCGGACGAGTCCGTAGAGCCGAGTGGCCCGTATCCAGAGCTTGTGGGCTGCCTCATGTACCTGATGACTTGCACACGACCTGACCTCGCATACCCTCTCAGCCTTCTGGCTCGCTACATGGCTCCCGGTAGGCACCGAAAGGTGCACTGGGATGCTGCGAAGAGGGTGTTGCGCTACTTGTGCAGTACGTCGGGCATGGGTCTCGTGCTTGGAGGACGGGCTCGAGTTGTCCTCACTGGTCACGCAGACGCTTCCTGGGTTGACGACTTGGCTACGCAGCGGTCGTCACAGGGTTACACCTTCAGCCTTGGCTCCGGCTCTGTCTCTTGGCGGTCTACCCGCTCTTCTTCTGTTCTCAGCTCCAGTTGTGAGGCTGAGATCTACGCTGGGGCCATGGCTGCACAGGAGTTACGCTGGCTCACCTACCTGCTGACCGACTTGGGAGAGGCGCCTCGTTGTCCTCCAGTTCTGTACGTCGACAACAAGGCCATGCTTGCCTTGTGTCAGGAGCACAGACTGGAGCACAGAACGAAGCACATTGCTCTGCGCTACTTCCTTGCTCGAGAGTTGCAGCAGCGTGGTCAGCTTCGTCTTGCTTACGTGGCCACTCAGGCCAACACTGCTGATATCTTTACCAAGGCACTTCAGCCTTGTGATCATCTGCGCTTTTGTACTATGCTAGGTCTTGTGCCTACTTGGCCTCACTTGCTCACTTCTTGACTCTGCTTGTACTGTGATCTCTATACATATACTTGCATGCTTACACTTGCTAGGTTGTGTTCACTGTATTGTTTGTTTTCCTTTATATAACTCTGCATGTGAACTGGCCTTGTGGCCATTTGCTTGTGCTCAGACTGCGTGGTGACTTTGTGATCCACCCTGAGCTTGCTTTGCCTTTCTTGACTGGTCTTGTGACCTCTTGTTCTCCCCCACTTTGCCTATGGGGGTGTGTCAAACTTATATGCTTTAGTTTGGGGTGGGCTGTAGTGGGGTAGTTCTTATAGGGTACAACACTTTTAGGTTTCCTACTTGTACCCACCTACTTTCTAGTTCAGTCATTCATTCGTTCACATTCTAACATCTCATGGCAGTCAAACAAACAAGAGCTAATCGCTCTCTCCTCAGCAGAAGCAGAATATATCGCACTTTGCTCATCCACCAAGGAAGGGCTATATCTTCGCGAATTACTGGAGGAAGCAAAATTGGCTCAGTTACCCAGCTTCTCCCTCTTCTGCGACAACCAATCAGCCATTGGCATAGCGAACAAAAATGGGTTCGCGAATCGAACGAAGCACATCGCCCTCCGGTACTTCGTAAAGGACGAAATCGAGAAGGGAAGACTCGAGCTATCCTACTGTCCCACATCCGAGATGGCAGCTGATTACTTGACCAAGAAACTCGGAAAACAGAAGTTCGAGTACTGCATGCTGCTGACTGGACAAGGACACGTCATCAGCAGCGATACTCCAGAAGCGAAGGGGAGTGTTGGAAACAAGTAACTTAAACGCTTCTGAAGTATCGATGTGTCGACACGAAACGGAGCGGACTACAGCGAAGAAACAACACGACGAGTCAACAAAAGCAACCGCTGGAGCTTACGCGAAGGTCAAAGATCGCTGACCTTTGACTTGACGAAAAGTACAGTGCGACAGCAAGGACACATAACTGACTCGTTACTGAGCAGTTACCCGAGTCGGCACTGTGTCGAACCGCAACAGCAAAAACAGTTAAAGTAGAACTTTTCATATTCCTTTGTAATCATATAAAAAGCTTGTACGGTATCTCTTTGCTATTATCAACTTATCTTGTTCTCACACACTAGTACAAGGTGGTTCAGCAAACTCTGATATTAAAAGCTTCCGCAATTACAACATTCCTACTTCAACCCCGATCTTAGCCTTGAAAGATCCTGAGGGCCTTTTTCAGCCCAACACTTTCAGGGTTATGAACTTATGGTATGTGAACTGCTTGGCCATCATGACATGCAAGAATGCATAATACACAATACTACCGTATCACACAATACATACACACAGATAGGCCTTCAGAGTTACGGTATGGTTACACGGCAGAGTAACAGGGCAGAGGGAACATAAACGAGTTGGTCTGTGTGGGGTCGAACACGGGCGGGGAGAAAAAGCCCTCGTCGGTCATGAAGCGACAAGCCTGGCTGTGAAACAGTGTGCATAGTCCTGAGGGGGGGAAAGAGGGGGGAGGGAAGGGGGAGGGGCGGAGAGGCAGGAGATTAGCAGGGCAGTGGAAACATGAGCGAATTGATCTGTGTGGAGTCAACAGAAGGGGGGAGAAAAGGCCCTCGTCGGTCATGAAGCGACACGCATGGCTGTGGAACAGCATGTACACCCCTGCGGGTGTGAGCGGGGGGGGGGCAGCAGACAGGCAGAGGAACAAGGAAAAGATTGTGGTACTAGGAAAAATGAGGAATGCGTTTTTAGAAAGCGTTTTCAGAAAGCCCTAGTCTGCCAGGAGACACGCCTGGCCGTGGAACAGCGTGTACAGCCCTGGAGGGGGGGTGTGGGGGACGGGAGGCGGCAGGCGGACAGGCACCAGGGCATGGAAGGGAGGGGTACTAGAAGGATCAAGGGGTGTGTTGGCAGAGAGCCCTCGTCTGTAATGAAGCAACACGCCTGGCTGTGAAGCAATAGCGTCCACAGCCTTGCAGGGGCGTGGGGTGAGGGGAAGTTTCAGACAGTCGAGACAAGAAGACAGGTGGCATGCAGCAGGCGAGCAGCAGGACAACAAGTGGGTTGCTGGAGCAAATAAGGCATGCACGTGCAGCACCCCACAGTAATCCCCCTGCTTTGGATCGTGCTGCCACATCCATTCCATTAGTAGCAGTCGTTCGCCGCCCCCGCCTTGCAAGCCTGGCAGAAACCCCCAATGCTCAGATACCCCGCCTCTTCGACCGCATTCAATCACAACCAACCGCATTCCGCCGCATTCAGCCACCTCACCTCTGTCATAATTCCCCTCCTTCGGATCGTGCTGCCACGTCCAGTAGTAGCAGTCATTGCTTGCCTCCGCCTTACACGCCAGACAACACCCCCCAATGCAATGCTCAGATACCCTGCCTCCCCAACTGCATTCCACCTCACATTCAACCACATTCCACTGCAATCGACCGCACTCAACCGCATTCAGCCACCTCACCTCGGTCATAATCCCCCTCCTTGGGATCATGTTGCCACGTCCAGTAGTAGCAGTCATTGCTTGCCCCTGCCTTACACGCCTGACAGCAACCCCCAATGCTCAAATACCCCGCCTCCCCCACCACGCTCCACCCCGCTGCTGGCGATTCCACACCGTACAGCCTCCCCCGCGCCACGTTAGCGGCTGCTGACGTGGCGGGCGCTGACGTGTCGCTGTACAACTGGGTGATCGCGCTGGTGCCAGCTGGACAGGCGGAAAGGCAGCCGGAGAAGGAAGGACAGGTGGTGTTTCCTGAGGTGATGGTACTGCCACTCCCAGTGCTGCTGCCTCCGCCACTGCCGCTGCTACCGCTGCCACCGCTGCCACCGCTGCCACCGCTGCCACCGCTGCCACCGCTGCCACTGCTGCCACCGCTGCCACCGCTGCTGCTGTCCCCCCCATTGCCCCCTGACCCCGTTAAAGGATCATCCAGTCCCCCTCCCGCTGTCCCTGCTCCCGTGCCGCCGCCCGCTCCGCCAGTGCCGCCCGTGCCGTCGGAGCCGCCCGGGGTCGGAAGTGCGGCGTCTTTTGGCGCCTTGCGGAAGGAGAAGGAGACTTTGGGGGAGGAGACGGGGTGGTGGGTGCGGGGGGAGGAGGCCGGGGAGGAGGCGGGGCGGGAGAGCGCGGAGTAGGCCTTGCTGGGGGCGCACTGCTGGGTGGAAAACAGCTGACATGTGCCTGGCGGTGGTTGGGGAGGGGGGGGAAGGGGAGGGAGGGGGGAGGAGGAAGAAGAGGGGAGGGAATGGGGAAAGGAATGTGGGAACAGGAACAGGCGGGGACGGAGAGCGCGGAGTAGGCCTTGCCAGGGGCGCACTGCTGGGTGGAGAACAGCTGACATGTGCCTGGCGATGGGGGGGTAGGTGGGGGATGGAGGGGAGAAGGGGGGAAGAGGGGAGGGGGAAAGGAAGGTGTGGGAACAAGAATAACAAGGAGGAGGCGGGGCGGGAGGCGGGGCGTACCTTTAATGGAATCCAGCCTTCTCGAGAAGGTCCAGTACTCGCATGCGTCGTTGAGCGCGCACAGCGAGCAGCACTCCTCGATGTAAACCTCCGTGTGGGTGTGGGTGTGGGTGTGGGTGTGGGGGCACAACTCCTCCCGGTAGGCTCTCAGCAGAGCAATAGTCAAAGACGCACCTTTGATGGAATCCAGTCGTCTCGAGAAGGTCCAGTACTCGCATTGGTCGTTGAGCGCGCACAGCGAGCAGCACTCCTCGATGTAAACCTCCGTGTCGCGCTCGTCCTTGTTCAGCCACGTGGCGTCTGCTGGGCTGTTGCGCGCCCCGGGCACCTTGTGCGGCCGCAGCGCGCCCCACACCGCTCCTGGGAACTCCGTTTGCGCATCCTGGTGGGCGGGAAGAGGATGAAGAGGGAGTTGTGGGGGGAGTGAGGAGAGAGGGGGAGGAAAAGGTGGGGGATGGGGGTGGAGGAGGGTCCTGTTGTTTCGCGTCCCTGACAACTTTTGCGGCCCACGTGTCAGCGAGCGAGCAACACGCGGGACGCGAAACGCGAAATGTCAGAGCGCAAGAGCCGCACCTCGAGTTGCGGGAGCGACTCGCTGGTGGGGCAGCTGTCGAGCTCCGGCCACGGCGACGGGCAGCTCAGCGCGGAAACGCCCTTCTTACTCCCGCCGGATTTCCCGCCGGGTTTCCCGCCGCGGCTCCCGCCGCGTTTTCCGCCGCCGGGTTTGCGGGAAGCATTGGGGGTCGCGAGAGGGCTTGGGCGGCACGAGACAGAGAGGAGCGAGGAGAGCGCGAGGAGGAGGAGGACGGGGAGGAGTGGGAGGGTGCGGGCCATGGTGAGAGCTTTTGCGGGGTTGTTGATCAAAGTGTGGTGGTGGAAGGTTATTCGCGTTCGTAGCGCGCTTTCAGTTCGACTCGCGGCTCGCGCAAAGCTGCGACGGATGAGATGAGATGCTACGAAGCCTTAGTGCGAGAGTCGGAGTTTAACGGACAGAGGAGAGAACACTGAGGTGACTTCCGAGTCGACTTTAGAGACAACACGGCGCGACGGATTCGAAACGACGGATTTGAAATGACGTTTCGCAGTACTACTAGTTCTCAGAGAAAGCTCTATCTGTCAAGCCCCACGCTGTACGCGCGTTCAAGAATCGATCTTTCAGGCGCCTCGGAAACCTTGTCGGCAGCTTTCAGCGTGCTCGCTGCACGCGTTCCATGCTGGACGCCTTATCTTCCAAAGCTGGCTGGCCGTCTTATCTTCCGGCGAAGCTGGCTGGATAGACGGTTAAGTTAGTTATCAGCAAGGGCGCGGTTACGAACAAGCACGCAAGCTTCCCTCAGTAAGCTAATTCGGGTTCCGATATGGAACAAAACGAACTAATGCGCGGATGAGACAAAGGCGGGAGGAGAACAAGTTTTTTTTAGTGGCTAAAATGCAAAGGCGTGCCACGTATCCGTTTTTCCTGGGTTTGACGGCGCAGTCGGTTTTGACTTCCGTCCTCGATTGTTAGCTAGAGCCTTGGGCCTAGAGTCCTTGGCTTGTTGGTACTGTACTTCAAGAGCCTGTCCTTCTCCTACACACTCCTAAATAGTTCTGTACTCACCTGACGTAAGGACAAGGTAACTAGGGAGGGGCAAGACTCGACTGAACAGAACTGGCAACTAAAGCGTTTAGTTTTTGTACTGTACGGTGCAGTACGATTTAATGCGTTCGGAGAGGTCAAAAATGTTAAGATGGTTTGGTCTGGGCTCTGGTTGGTTGGTGGAGGCAGGAGGGCGGTGCCACCAGAGAATACAGCTGAACCGACTGCAACTGCACCCCGCCCCGCTGCGCCTGGCTATTGGTCTACGGTCGAAACGTCTGTCACTGCGAAACAGAATGATCTTTTGCTGCGAACTGTACTGCTCTGCACGGTTGTAATGTATGTACAGTTCAGAATCGTCTGCTGCGAGGCGCAGGGGTTTTGTGCCGCCAGAAATTCCAATTTGAATCGAAATTCGACGAACTGTTACGAGTACAATTGAGTGAGCGAGCAAGGATTGCACTATCGAGACAAGAATACAATGAGCTAAGGATTGAGAGAAGAATATAAAAGCGAAGCTACAGTGGTAACGGTAACGTGGAAAATGGGGTGCGCGACGGGCCTAGTGCCGAGGTTGGGAATTGTCAAGGCGGAGGTCCGGAGCGCGGGTTACCAACCGAGCCGTGAGGTTGGGTCGCGTCGTGAACAGTGGCGGGAATAGTGGCGAGACGAATGTCGCGAGTGGTAACGGATTGTTGTTGGGTGCTGTTCGCGGGAAACAGTTGTGTACGCGCTGAGCAAGGACGCAAAGTAAGGGACCCAATTGTCTTCAGTGGGCGTGCGGTCTTTCCAGCGGATCAGAAATTCGACCCTTTGAGCTCCCCGTGGGTCACGAACTCGGTGGCTCAGAATCTTTTCGGGCGTGATCATTGGTTCTGTCGGCGGTCGTGTCATGCTGGCTGGGCGGGTGCGGGGCAGTTGGCTGGTGAATGGTACGTAAGGGCGAAGCAGGCTGACGTGGAAGGACGGGCTGACGTACCAGTCAACAGGGAGGAGGAGGTGGGCGGTGATGGGCGTGATCATGTCATTGATGCGGAATGACCCGCAATATCGGGGGCGGAGTTTCGGGGTTATGGGCAGGTGGAGGTTTTGGGTGTCGAGTAAAACTAGGTCGTCGGGCTGGTAAGTGACAGGTCTGCGGTGGCGATCGGCGTTGCGCTTAGCGATGACGTTGGCCTTTTTAATTGCCTCGGCTGCCCGGGTCCGTGCTGCTTGTAGGATTTTTGCGAACTGTTGCGCACGTGGTACTCGGTTGTCGGGATTCGGGGTCATGGGTACTGTAGGGTCTTGTCCGTAGTTCAGGTAAAACGGTGACTTTTGGGTCATGGCGGATGGCGAGTTGTTGTACGCGAATTCGATGAGTGGCAGCTGTTGTTCCCAGGTAGTCGGATCGTCGCACGTGGCTCGGATGAGTTGCTCCATGGTCTGATTTGTCCGTTCTGTCTATCCGTCGGTTTCGGGGTGGTACAAAGAACTAAATTGTAGTCGTGTGCCGAACTGCTGCCATAGGTTCCGCCAGAAGTTACTGGTAAATTTCGTGTCGCGGTCGCTGATGATCGCTGCTGGTATACCGTGTAGTCGAACGACGGTGGAGATGAAGAGGCGAGCTGTTTCTTCGGCTGTGATTGATTTCTTGCAGGCTGCAAAGTGTGCCATTTTCGTCAGCCGATCGACGACGACCAGGATCGCGTCGTTCCCACTTGCTCCGGGTGGTAACTGTGAAGATGGGAGCTTAAGCTAAGAAGCCATAGCTAGGTTTTAGGTTATATGAAAGAGAAATAGGAGAAGAAGGTGAGTTTCACTAGCAGCAATGAGGATACATATAGCAAACCCTAGATGGGTTGTACTCGCTATAGAGCACCCCCACTACAGGCTAGAGAATAACATTCTAACACACCCCCATAGCCAAAGTGGGGTGTAATCAGTACAATGAGCAAGCAGGTATAGAGCAGGAGTTCACAAAGGTAAGCAAAGTTAGAGCTAATCACAGAGGGCAAGTGAGGAGGAGGAGAGACTGTGGAGGGAGAGAAGATGGGAGGCAACGACTGAAGCTGCAGAGGCACGGGCACAGGAGCGGCTGACTCAGAGGCTACCGAAGCAAGGGCGACGGACTACTGGAGTGACTGGCTCCGCGGCTATAGACGAGCGGCAGGAGCAACGGACCCACTACAGGCTAGAGAATAACATTCTGACAGTAACCCCGTGACGAAGCCCATCGTCACCTGCTGCCACGCACACTCTGGGGGTGGTATCGGCTGCAACTGTCCTGCCGGCCTTTTTCGTGGTGATTTCATGAGTTGGCAGGTGGGACACGATGCCACGTGTCGCTGCACGTCGGTCAGCATTTCAGGCCAGTAATAATACCGCTGCAGCCGCTGCCGTGTTTTTTCTACTCCGAAATGGCCTGAGATAACTCCGTCGTGTACCTCCTGTAGCAGTAATTCCCGTAGTAGCGTGTAGCCCGGTACCCAGATTCGATCAGTGCCGGCTTTTACGTAATAAACTCCCTTTGCTGCTGCGAATTGCTGCAAATTTCCTCCTGTGAAGAATGGGTCAGTCTGATAGATGTGGGTAAATAGTCCTGTCAGTAGTGGGCTGGTCTGGGCGAGTAGTATAGCGTGGATTTGGGCTGTGGGGCGGGTTAGTGCGTCGGCGATGTTCGATGCCCCCTTTTTGTAGGTGAGCGTGTAGTGAAAATTGGACTCGAGGTAGTCGAGCGAGCGAATCTGTCGTGGGTTGAGGTGGGGCTGTGCACGGAGGTACAATAGTGATTTATGGTCTGTCCGTACTGTCACGTCTGCGCCGGTCAAGTAACAGCGCCACACTTTGAACGCATGCACGATCGCAAGCATTTTGCGATCGTGTATCGGGTAATTTTTCTCGAGCGGATGCAGTTTTCGTGACTCGTATGCGATGGGCTGTAAGCCGTTGCCAAAATCATGTAGCAGTATGGCTCCAATGGCGATGTCGCTTGCATCGGTAACCACTTCGAATGGGCGGTGTGGGTCGGCGATGCGCAGTACGGGCGGTGAACAGAGTACATTTTTCAGGACAGAGAAGGCAGCATGCTCTTTCTCCCCCCACGTAAAAGCGACTCCCTTCCTCAGCAAATCTGTCAGCAGGGCAGTTAAGCGTGCCATGTCAGGAACGAACCGACGCACATAATTAACAAACCCTAAAAAACTCACCAGCTCTGTGATGTTCGTCGAAGGGTGCCATGCTTTCACCGTGTCCAGCTTCTTTGGGTCGATTTCAACTCTTGCCGCAGAAATAACGTGCCCAAAAAAATCTAAACTATCCGGGAAGAACTCGCACTTGGAACCTTTGGTCAATAGTCTGTGCTTGTCTAAAACCTTAAAAGCTGCTTCTATATCTGCTAAGTGCTGCTGTTTATCACGACTGTAGACTAGGATGTCGTCGAGGTAAAACTATCACGCATTTATCTAAGAGTGGCCTAAACGCCTCGTTCATGGTCATCTGGAATGTCGCCGGTGCGTTGGTCAGCCCGAAAGACATTACTGTGTACTCAAATCACCAGTACATAGTCCTAAATGCTGTCTTGGTACAGTCCAATGGTTCGACCCGAATCTGATGGTAACCTCCACATAAATCGATTTTCGAAAAGACCCGTGCTGTTCGCAGTTGATCTATCAGTTCGTCGACGCAGGGAATGGGGTATCGTGATTTTTACTGTAACCCTGTTCAGTGCCCCGTAATTGTCAAGAGAATAAAAGAGAATGAATGAACTATGAAAGAGTTGGGTACAAGTACTAACCCTAATTAGGTTGTACCCCTTATGGGCT